GTTGCAAGTGACTTGACAGCACATAACAACAACAACAACACTGCAAGGGGCTGGAGGAGGGGGAACAAGGAGTGGCTGCTGATGGGTATGAGGTTTTCTTCTGGGTTGATGAAAATATTCTAAAATGGTGTTATGCTAATGTGTAGCAGCTACTTAATATTTGAAGAGAGAATGTTAGGATGTGTTAATGGCTTTGGTCTCAAGTCTCAATGAACCCTCAGGACAATGACCAGAACTGGATACTTACAGGCTCAGAGATGGGCTGACTGAGGCCATTTGGCCTGGTCCTCCCCTTACCCAGGGACCAGGAGGTCAACCAGCTGAAGGAGCGGATCACCACAATGATGATGTCCATTGCCAAGGAGGAGGATACAGCCGCTGAGCTGGAGCTCAAGGCTAGAGTTTTCCACTTTGGAGAATACCAGGGTGCTCAGCAGGTGTGCCAGTGGGTGGTGGCTATTGGGTGGGGGATGTGGGGCCCTGGAATGTGGAACTAGGGAAAGAAATGGAGCCCTCCTGGCTCTTACAGCCAAGAGTGACTGTCACTGGAGAGTAAGCCTTTGTGCTATGGGGCTGCCTGAAGTTAAGCTGGGAGCTCCACGCTGGGGGCCATGCTGGGAAGAGCCACACATCACCTGCCCTTTTTTTCTCTCATTCAACAACTGTGTTTCTTAAGCATTTATGTGTGTGTATAAAGAGGAATGAGGGCATCTCCAAGCCCAGAGGGGTAGGTGGGAGAATCCTGAGGGGAGGAAGCCAGTGAGACTCCAGGATCAGCCCACACTCACCCTGACTCACACCCAAGGCTGCCATCCACACAAGCCCCCACTGTCTCTCTCATTCACACCCTGAATGGAGGTGGGCCTGGACCCAGGCTGTATCCTTGAGTAAGTGAGCACAACCTTGTCTCCAGGACTCTGGTACTCCCTGTACACCAGGCCCTCGGCAGGGCCTCCTGACTGTGACCACTCACTTCATTCCACCTAGCCTGGGTGGTGGTGGTTGTCAGGTACTGTGGAGTTGGCTCCAACTCAGTGACCATACTCATGAAAGCAAAACCCTGCCTGATCCTCACAAGCTCTGCTGTACTTAAGCCCATGTTGTAGTCACTTCTTGAAGTTCATGTATATTCAGTACTCTTCACCAACGCCTCAATTCAAAGATAACAGTTCTTTCGTCTTCCTAACTCACTTCCACCTTTCATATCCACATGGAACAATGGAAAATACCATTGCTTGGGTCAGGCACACCTTAGTCTTTAAAGTAATACTTGCTCTTGAGGACCAGATTTGACAACTGCTTTGAAATGACGACTGCTTCCATTGGTGTGGTGTTATTAACAGTTTCTTATATGTCCCATGACCTCATTTGCCAAAGGCCACACACAAAGTTGGTGTCTTGAGTGGCGAAGGGAGTTAGAAGGGCTTTCCAAAGGTCTTGGTGTTAAGGGTCATGCTGAAGCTGGGGAGGTATCACTTCTACAATAGTAGAAACTCCATCGCGCTGACCAAAGGAGGGCATGCCACAAGGGCATTCCTAGTCTGGCCTTCACATTCCATGCCAGGTAGAACAGGGAACTCACTCACTCACTCACTCACTCCCCACTCTTGGAGTAATATGGATAAGCAGTGCTTTTGAGAGCCTGCCATGGACAGCCAAGAGAACAAGCAGATATGTCTTAGAGAAGATATAGCTGGAGTGCTCCTTGCAGGCAAAGATGGTGAAGCTCCGACATTCATACTTTAGACATGGAGGTAGTCATGGTTATTCATTGGAAAGGGATATCGTGCTTGGAAGGATGAGGGATCAGTGGAGAGGAAGGCCCCAATGAGATGGATTTCTATGATAACTTCAGCAATGGGTGTGAGTGTTTAGGAGATGGTGAGGATGGCACAAGATAGGGCAGGGTTCATAGGCTGGCTGTTCATGAGGTTGCTGTGAATTGTACTCGATGGCATCTAACAACAACTGTCTCCTGCAGGACAAGCTGCTGGACAGCCTCAACCGCAAGGTGCTGGATGTGTACCAGCACTGCATCGGCCCCCTGCAGGAGGCCAGCCTGGGCACAGTGCAGATGCTGACCATCATCGAGAACCAGCTGGATGAACTGCTCGAGAGCCTGGAGAGTGTGCCCCAGTCCAAGATCAAGCAGGCAGAGAAGGCCAAAGAGAAAGAGCGCCGCCTGAGGTGGGCACTGGCCTTCCTGCAGAAGGGCCAGCTCGGGCGGTGGCACGGCCGCACTTTTCATGGCTCCTCAAGGACCTAGCGTGAAGGCAGTGTGATCTCTGCTCCCTACTGTTAGATAGAAAAAATAGTGTGAGGGCAAGGGAGAGAAATAAAGAAACTGGTCCTAAGAAACGAACAGACCTTTATTGCAAGGTCTAAGAGGGTTACCAAGTGACCCGGCCACGTGACCTGGCCGCACAGCATAGCAGAGAAATTTGGGGGTGGGGGGAGTCCTTTTTATAGAGGTCCTGGGGAGGGCTAAGATGGTATTTCTCAGAATTTAGGGTGTTAATTAAGTTAGGTTTGGGCTATTTTGATCAGGCTCAGACCCTTATCGGGATTCATTGTCTGGTCTGGTCTTTGATATGACCAGCTTAGATGTTATCCGTTTTCTCAGGAAGTGATCAAGCTGGGGGCGGGGGGGCGGGCAACTGCCATATTCTTCCTGCACCTACAAACTTCTGAAGGGTGAGGGCAGGGGCATCACCACTGTGTGACAGCAGACCAGAGGGCTTGGTGGGACATTAGAGAGGTAGCAAATGTAATCTGAAGGGTCAGGGGAGGCTTTCTGAAGGTGACTAATGTTCATTACTGACAAGGACCAATTCAGGCAACTAAGGATAAGGAAAGAATTTAGATGAGCTGGCAGGGTGTGGGATTAGCCACTGGAGAGTTGACCCTGAAAAGAGGCAGTAGCTAGGGGGGAGCCTGAGTTCATTCAGGATCAGGGTTTAGGGCTGGAGTGGGCAATGCCAAGCCCATGTGCTACACATGGCAGAGCTGTTAGGCCATCCTTGGTGGGTGACCCAGGGCTTCTGCATTAGGGTCTAGCAGCCATATGCATAGAGCTTTTCTTCTCCCTGAGATCCCACCATCTACTAACAGCCGCCTGTCTGTCTAGCCCACAAAGGAGCTCATCCTCCCTGACCAGACACCATGCTCCACTCACTCAGCTGTGGAGTCAGAGCTGACCCTCTAGCAGGTTTTCAAAGGCTGTAAATCACAGGAGATTGTTCATCTTTCTGCCAAGAAGCAGCTGTTGGATTCAAACCCAGTGCCTTTTAGTTGGCAGTGCATCTCCTTACCACTATGCCACCTGTTGAGAAAACTCCCGACTGACCCAAAGGATGAAACAAAGCCCTCACTGATTCATCCTGTGGGGGCTGGAGCCAGCAGGAAAGATGACCCTAGACTGTGACAGAGTTGGGGACATGCGTGGAAGTCTGTGTCTCCTGTGAAGATGGTGGGATTCAGATGGGCCTTAGTTAAGTGGACCATAGATAAGAGTTTATCTTTCCCTGTGGCCCAGACATCTTTCCCAAAAAAGCACTGTCCAGTCCTTCACTATGGCGAGGCAACAAGGTCCTGCCAGATCAGGTAGGAATGAGGTGTGGCCCAATTTTAGGACTCTGTGGCAGGGTGGGCAGGTCACCAGAGCCTCTTTGGTTGGTCATGCAAACTCGTACGATCCAGGCAGCGGGAAGAGAAGGTCCAGATGCAGAAACAGCTTCAGGAGGAACGTCTGCAGCGAGCCAGGGCCCGCGCCTGCATCGAGGTCAAGAAGGTAGGTGGTAACTGTAGGCAGTGAGGTTTCAGGATGAGGCAAAAAGTGGTGCAGTAAACTCGGGGACCCTGGAACCCACCCTCTTTACAGGCTCTGTTGGCCAGACAGAAGTAGGCTTCCCCACACTCAGTTCCTGGGGCCACCCTCCTTATGGGACTGACTTCCTCCCAAGAATACCCACTCCTGATGTCATCTCCTGAGGTGGAACATCTCCTGAGTTCTGAGGCGACAAGCCTTCTCTGCAAGGCACTCACAGCCAAGCTCCCCTCTTCCACATACCTTTGTTCCATGACTGGCTGTTGGGCAGGGGCCTCACCTCCTAATCCAGCCACAAGTACTTCTAGGAACTGGTAAGGAAAAATCAGTCCTTCCTTCTACCCCACAGTATAGTCAGGTCCAGCACATGACCTGTTACTTCAAGTTTCTCATTTTGTCTCCAATCTCCTTTTCCTGCCCATGAATACACTAGAATAGTCACAGGCCTTGGGGCCAAAGAGAGATATGACCAAAGAAAGCCCTGACAATAGGAGTATGTCTTCCTAACAGGCCAGGAGCTTGCCTGCAGATGCGGGCCTTTTTACTTAGAACTGCATCCCCCTCCCCACCAAGAACCAGCTCTACAAATGCTGTAGCATCTCTGATTCCCACAGCAGAGGTGGGCTGTCTAGTCCTGCACTTCCCCAGCTGTGTGACCAGAAACCACTCTCCACCTCCCATCCCGCCCTCAGCATCCAGAATTAGGCATTCCTTGGAAATTACTTGGTAAATACTGCAGTAGACATTTTATACACACAAGCTATGCTAGGATCAGTTCAGCCTTCAGGCCAACTGAGCTGGAAAGGAGAGCTGACTGGGACCTCTGAGAAGGCACCCAGGCAGGCTAACCCCCTGCCTAGAGTTCTCAAGTCTCCTCCCATGTCAGGGGTGGGGAGTGTTTGATGATTACCACTTTCAAGCTAGGCCTGTGGGGTAGAGATGACATAGAACAGATATTGATGATGGTTATTTCTTTGGGGCAGAAAGGCAGAAAACTGGTGTGCCGTTCTCAGCCTCCAGCTCTCAAAACAAAGGAGGAATCCCAGCACATGTTTATGGAGAAGGAGAAGGAAGAGCAGCTCTTCTTCACTTAGCTTTCCCAGGGTCAAGTGGTTGGTGTGGCTGACCCAGAAGAAGCCAGCAGCGGGAGCATAGCCTGGACTGGACTTAGCCAGACCCTGTGCATTCTGGTCATTCCATTCCTTTCTCACGCAGAAATAAATGCCATATCTGTGATGTCTTGATGTCTGTGTAAGGAATGCTCTTTCAGTATTTCCTAGAGTATGGGAAGTTCCCCAATCTAACAAAGTCTCAGGAGTTTTCTAGGCCTAATAATAGAGCACTGGAGTTTCTTCCAAGCCTGGTTCATTATTAGCAGGACTCAGTCTAGATAGAGTTCAACCTGATGGTCAGTGGAGCAAAGGTGAAGATAGAACATAACACAGGATTAAAGATGAAGTAAATTTTATTAAGAAAGATGAGTACTCTTTATTAAGTAAGTAAGAAAGAAAAAGGCCGAGGCCATTGACCTGCCCAGAGAATAGCTCATTCAGATACCATGATAACCAGGTGTAGCTGCCTTCAGTTCTTGGCCACTCACTGACCCCATTCAAACCCACCTGCAGCCAGAAGGCTAGGAACTTACCCCTTCAATCCTTGTGCCTGTGGCCCTCAGGCCAAAAAGGGACCACCAACATTCAGGGTCCAGCCAAGACATTGTTCTTGTCTGGGACATCATCCTGCTGTGCCAGCCATGCACTTTATCTGGAAATCTTCAGGGAAGTGGAGAAGAATGTCAGAGACAAGGTCCTTCCTCCTAAACTACCAGAGAGAGTGGTGAAGAGAGTCTGAGAATCCGGCCTCAACACTCCACAGACCTCAGGACAATAGACCTCAGAAAACAAGTCATCCACCTCCGAGTTCTCAGCTGTGGAACTAGAGAAAAAAGAACAGCAGATATTGACTCCCTAGATCCAGCAAACTCTGCCACAGGACCAGAGAGGAAGGATCGCAGGCAGGATGAGGTGCCCTCCCCTTCCCTACTGGAGTGTTGGACTTCTTAACTGAAGCAAATCTTCCCGTGAGGCCAAGGACCAGAGAGAAATTCAGGCAGGATGAGCTGTTTTTCCTTCCTCCAAAGCAGTGAGCTGTCAAGCCAAGGTCATTGGACCCAAGACCTGCTAGGGCCTTGTTGTTATGTGCTGTCAAGTCGTTTGCGACTCATAGCAACCCTATGTACAACAGCCCTAAACCCTGCTCTATCCTGTGCCAATTGCATTGCCTCTGACACACTCATCCCGATTACCCCAGTCACTGAATCA